GATTCATGGATTGATAGATGTATGGAAGAATCGATTGATGGACAGAGGAATAAATGAATGGATAAATAATAGATGGGTGGATGAATAGATAGATCAATGGGTGGAAGGATCAATAGAATGAGAAACAGAAAAATTGCCAGACAGAAAGAGAAAGGGGTAGATAGTAGAGTGCACTGGCACTGAAAACTGTGATGCAGTGCTCTTGTCTATTGCACAGAATCCTTCGTATGTATTTCTCAACATATAGTACCATAGGCACTTGAATTAATTAAATTCCTCATTACATACCATTTAATTTATTTCAGATTCATACTAATGCTCCCCACATCTTGTTTCTGACTTAAAATGCAATTTTTTGTTTGAGGAATATTAAATGACTTTTAAAAAGAGAAAATTTATTTTAAAAGAAAAGGAAAAATTTATAAGGTTTTATGAAACATTAATTCAGGCTTTTATTTCTATAGTGTCTATAGATTTAGTAAAATCTTGACTAAAGGCTGTTAAACGTAATCTTGTCAAAGGCTACTAAAATAACTTTACGTCTCACTTTATAACTTTTTCTAATAGAGATGTCGTACAAAACACTTACTTTCATAGATCAAGATCTGAGAGTTACAATCACATCCCTTTAAGTGTAACCAAAATAGTTCATAGTTCAGTGGAAATGTGTTTATCTAAGAGACAGAATTCGAATGATATCTCAAACACTCTCTCTCTCTCTCTCTCTCTCTCTCTCCAGTTTCCAAAGCAACTAAATGTTATATTGCTATTTCTTTCAGGGTGAATTTGATCAATCATTTGCATCTACTCTGGATGAAAAGGGACAGTTAGGAGGCAGCATAATACATTGGGTTAAAAATAATCAAATTCCCTTGTACTTACATAACCTGCTGATTCCAGGGAGCTCTAAGTGCCTTATAGATATTATATCATTAATCCCTACAACATCAGTATGAGATGGATGGCAAATCATATGCTCTACTAGGTGCAGAAGAGATAGAGACAATGATTATAATAATACATCTTGTTTGTAGAACGTCTTGTGCTGAGGTGTTCAGGACATTTCAGATGCTATCAAATGAATTGCTTGATCTTCCTAAGGGATTGATACTGGGCAAATATGATCTTCTTTCAGATTAATGTGGAAAACTAAAGCAAACACAGTGGCATATTCAATTTTACTGGTGGGAACATTGTTCAAAGGACATTTTTTCTTCTAACTGTATACTTGGCGTTCTGAAAACTTGACTATTACTGTTTTTGCTTGATATTAAAAGTAGATAGTTGATTGAGTGATGAAAAATAAATGGCAGGTAGGTAAGTAGATGGGGGGGAGAGAGAGAGAGAGAGAGAGAGAGAGAGAGAGAGAGAGAGAGAGAGAGAGCGAGAGAGAGAGAGAGAGAGAGAGGATAGACAGATAGCAAACTTCAAATTTTAGTCCTGGCCCAAACATGGTGGTAATTATCATATCATGATGCCATGCCTACAGACCCAGAGCTGCTGGTGAAAGAAAAGATAAAGTCTCTATCGTTAACACATTTTCTGAAATTCTAATGGACTTAATTTATAAAACCTAATCCAAGACTTTTCTGAAGTAGGAATAGAGATGATAGAAATAGCAATGCATTTAAAATTTCGGTAATGTTTCATCATCAAATGCATTTTTGAATGCTAAAAAGGCATAAGACTCAAATGACTGCAATGATTTTATTTAAGAGGACAAAATAATTTTTGGAATGACTGCATGGGCTGCCTGGTATAAGAACTAAAATTGGATTAAAAGCAACCTTTTACTGTAACCTGGTGGATTTTGTTGTTACTCTACATTGCTTTCACCCGAATGAAGCTGATAAAAAGTAGCTGTTGCCCTATAGTAGAAAGAAATGTGAGTAAGTAAGAGTTTGGTGCTTTGATGAAACATGCAGCTGACCCTGTGAGTGAGTAGAGAGGAGTAAAATCAGATGAGAGTAGTGGGACCTCTCAGGAACCAGGTTACAAAGGGCTTTGGGGGTCTTGAAAGGAAATGTATGTATTTATAAGTACAATGGAAACAACTGGAGAGCTTTGAGCAGAGCTTTGATGTGATCTGATTTGCATTTAAAAATCACTGCTAATGCTTTGAGGACAATGAATTGCAGAAACTCAAGACTGGCAACAGGGAGACCAGTCTGGACGTTGCTGCAGTAGTCAGAGACTACAGAGCCTCTAGAAGATTTTAATCTAGAGATTAGAGAGAATTTAAAATGTTGTGCCAACTGTGTGATTTTATGAACCTGGAGATCTCATCCTCTAACTATGTAGACCACGGTGGTCATAAATTAAATGACATAACATTTAATTTTCTATAATTGCAAATATTTTTAAGAAGCCACAGTAAGAGTTATAAACATCAACTATGTTATTATGGTTAGAGAAATAGAATGAGTTGAGCTTCTTCCTTATTATTTCTGTTCTTTGCTGAAAGAGTTGAAAGCTGCTTCAATGTGATTTGCTTTATACACAACACAAAATCAATCATAACCAAAAACTTGCAACAACAGCTGATTTATCTTAGTTTCCCTGGACCATAAATAAAGCGAAAACACATAAAAAATGGATAAAGGACCAGAAAGAAATAGGCAATACCCAATTAGAAGTTATTTCCTCGCTGTATCAAAGGAAGAGAGAAGCACTGAGCCTGTTCGCATCATTTATTGTGCTTTTCTCATTAGCTATTGGTTGATTTTAGGCATTTGAATATGAGAATGAAAAGCATTTCTTCTTTATGCTCAATATTCTTTTTTTTTATTTTTGAGATGGAGTTTTGCTCTCGTTGCACAGGCTGGAGTGCAATGGCATGATCTGCGCTCACCACAACCTCCGTTTCCCCATAACTTCTGCCTGCTGGGTTCAAGCAATTCTCTTGCCTCAGCCTCCTGAGTAGCTGGGATTACAGGCATGGCTCACCATGCCCAGCCAATTTTTTATTTTTAGTAAAGACAGGGTTTCTCCATGTTGGTCAGGTTGGTCTCAAACTCCCTACCTCAGGTGATCCACCTGCCTCAGCCTCCCAAAGTGCTGGGATTATAGGCGTGAGCCACTGTATCTGGCCTATGCTCAATATTCTTTACAAATAGAGGTATGCACAAGAAATCAGAAAGCTATCGTTATATTTTGACACTGAGGCTGGCTTTCTAGCCTAGACCAAGTTATTTGTCAGCCTGTACTTGGTTCATGCTATACCCCCAACCCTCAACTTAACTGACCTTTAATCTTTTTATTATTTTTTTTCTTAGAACAAGAATCCACATAGGATCTTTTTCTTTCTTCTTTCTTTCTTTCTTTCTTTCTTTCTTTCTTTCTTTCTTTCTTTCTTTCTTTCTTAATTTCTTTCTTTCTTTCTTTCTTTCTTTCTTATTGATATGGAGTCTCACTCTGTTGCCAGGCTGGAGTGCAGTGGCACAATCTCAGCTCATTGCAATCTCCGCCTCCTGGGTTCAAGCAATTCTCCTGCCCCAGCCTCCTGAGTAGCTGGGACTACAGGCGTGCACCACTACATCCAGCTAATTTCTGTGTTTTTAGTAGAGACAGGGTTTCACCATGTTAGTCAGACTGCTCTTCAACTCCTGACCTCCTGATCCACCTGCGTCAGCCTCCGAAAGTGCTGGGATTACAGGCGTGAGCCACATCAGTTATCTCCAGTAGAACATGTTGTATATAAATGTGTTGAAATTCATGTGATGAATGTCATTGTTTCATTATAGTATTATTTTCAATTTTATTACACAGCAGTTAGTGTATTTAAAGCAAAATGAAGAAGAATGTCTTAGTCTTCTTAGAAGTCAGATTTTCTAATCATCTTGTTAAAAATTTAAAACATGACTAAGTAAGATAGAAAAGTTCTGTTATAGTACAAGTGTAAAAGTAAAGCTTGCTAAAATAAATAACATGGTTAAAAATCTGTAGTATCAATTGCAACATTCCACATAGCATCAGATTTGCAAAGTACAAGTTTCATATTTAACGTGTCATATATCAAAATAAAGCCAAATATATTTAATTATCAAAAAGTATCCACATTATTTTAAATTAAAAAAAGAAGTGCTCATATTGCAAATACATTTCTGTGCACCATTAATTTTCTAACTGTATAACCCTGTACCAGAGACATAATCCCTCAAGACAGAGCAGGTCCTTTCCTAGGACTGCAGAGGAAGAGTTTGCAATGCTCTGTATTAAAGGCTACAGAATAAAGCAAGGGAAGAGGGATGGTTTAAAAAAAAAATACATGAACATCACCCTTCTTTCCTTAACCCTGATGTATTTTCTCATGCTGCTGAACAATCTATTACTCAGCATTCCTAAGGCTTTGCCTCAGCAGGAGGTGTCGAGTGGTTTACAGATTTGAACGTGGAAGCAATCTGTAAGCAGTTAGTGGAAAAAGAACTACAACTCTAGATTGGTTAATGCTTTCTCTTTGGCTTGCCAAATATGCATTTTATTTACAATTTAATGAATTATTTAGTTTGGTTGAAATAATCCATTCTTATTAAGGCACATCTGGTGATAATTATGAAATGTGTAAACAATGAAAGCATGTATTTTCCAACCGGTAAATAGAAATTCATCAATATTGGTAACAGCCAAGTTGAAACTGCATTCCCTCTCTTTAACCATAATTGGAATACCTAAAACACATCTTATTATCTTGACACAAAATTAATAGACAGAATAAAGGGTCTCTCAATAGTCAAGTTTAACTCACCATTCTTATTAAAATCTAATTAAAGCTCCCTCAAAGGAGAGCAGTCTGGATTTAGTGAGTAGGTTTATATAACCAGTGAACTCTCATTATTATTAATGGGCTAAACAAAATATTTTGGAGATATCAGATGATTTAAATTTATATCTGGACACCAATAATATATTACGAATAAATTTCTTTATAAAATGACAAATAATTTTTACAGAGAAAATTCTAATTATTTCTCACACAAAGCTTTTATTATTTTGGAATTATGTTTATTTTTCCATTGATCTTGAGTATAATTTTTTAAGCTGTAAGAGACTAGCACTGAGACATTGAAGGAACAGCAGGAATGAAACAGCTATTTTCACCTAAAGAGTAAAATAAAAAATGTAAGTGGATCTTATATTTTTGGTTATAGCCTGATGTTGAGTTTGACCAGAAATAAATTTCTCTTGTTTTTAAATCAACCACCACAGCATAATTCTGCTGTCCTTGATATGTTCCTGAGGGACCTACACTTATTAATGCAGGCAGCAAATGTTAACACTGAGTGCTTACCATGTGCCTTGCATTATGCCAGAAGCTAAGCCCCAAAATAGCAAAACCAGATGAAAATGTCGTGCTACAGCTGAGGGTCTAGAAGCATTGCTATTACTAATCCCTAGCAGGTATTCTGAGAGTTTTGGCTACTTTCTTCCAACAGTATGGGGGTTACCTCACCCCAGAAGATTTTGCTGGGTAGTCGGTATGACTATGTCCTTTCCTTGGCAAACCTTGTTTTATTCACCTTTGTTTCTTTAGCTCAAACAAAATGCAGAGCTTGTCCTGGAGGAATGAACCTAGTTTGGTTCAAACGTCGTCTTTACCGTGTCAGTTGTCCTCAGTACACCTCTTACTCCTTGGTGTGCTCAAGCTCTCTGCTCAGAGTTCTATTAGAGCACTGGTCCAACTGTGTTGCAATCATCAGTTAATATCAATGTTTGATTCTTAAAGAGGAGTGAGGTCACATGCCCCTAGAGTGACAAACCGGAAACCCAGGAGTCCTGCATTGTGAGAGATTTATATTAGTGTAGTTTGTTTTCAAACTAAAATATGACTTTTCAAACTTGGGAAATCATTGATATATATATATAGAGAGAGAGAGGAATATATACAGAGGAACATATATATTTAGAGAGAGAAATATATATAGAAAAAATATATATATGGAATTACATGTATGAATATATACCTATAGGATAAAATATACACACACACACATACACACAAATGCGCGTGCACACACACACACATATATATATACATATATACATACATATATATACATATATACATACGTATATATACATACGTATATATACATATATATACATACATATATATACGTATGTATATATACATACCACCACTAACTGTTCAGACTCCTTGTCTCTCATCTCAGTGGAGATCATAAGGCTTATTTCAATGTATCCCTCAGCAATTGCCTACCCAACAGCAATTTCGCTACATTTCTAAAATGTAAAAAATGTCCTTCCTGCTACCCCTGATGTGGTATTCCAGGAGGATGTGGAGCTTTGCAGACATGAAGTACTCTTACTATCATCTACCATGTATTTGATTATTTTTTTCTTTATCTTGGGAAAAAAGTGATTAAAATTACAATGTTCTCAAGTAAGTTACATTACAATGTTTATGAATCTTTGAAGAACAACAAATTTCATTCCATCACAACCAAACATGAATATTTGACAAGTTCCACCAATAAAGTCTGATAAAGTTTTCTCAACCTTTTTTTTTCAGAGATAGGGTCTCATTCTGTCATTCACGCTGGAATAAAATGGCCCAGTCTCATTCGGCTCCCTATAACCTCTGACTCCTGGGGTCAAGCTATTCTCGTGCCTCAGCCTCCTAAGTAGCTGAAATTACAGGCATATGCCGCCATGCCCGGATAATTTCTTTGTATTTTTAGTAGAGACAGGGTTTCCCCATGTTGGCCAGACTTTGTAACAATCTTTTGCTTAATATTAACCAGCAAAGAAGGGCCTATAAGCCTGGTGGCAATGAAGTGATGGAATTATGATTTGATGTCATCAAGCTAATCATTTCAGTCCTGACATTGCATAATAAATGGGTTGAAATTCCTTTATTCTTTGGAACAGATGCGAGTTACTTATTAAAAAATTCCATATTTATTCATCACCAGAAAAACCATGAGGTGAGGGTTTCCAAAAATTTCATTTTATAAAGCAAGGGCAAAAACTATGTAAACAAAAAAGCTGAGGCCAGCATGGTGCTCTCTGATTTTTTGCACAATACTGCTTTTAAGTAGAGATGAAGGCAGAAAAGTAACATTTGACTTGTCTTCAGGGCTTGGTTATGCTGAAATTTCTGCATTACTTTTTATTTTAAAATAATTTAAAATTAGGCCTGACTCAGGGAAAGAAGTCCCTCTAATTTAAGCAAGGATTTTTCCCTAAGGTTTTTGTCTTTTTGGTCAAATTTCAAGAATCCTAAACAATGGGAAGAGAATTAAATGCCTGTAAACTCAATCTTCTCCCCACATGTACTGTTCCTTGGGTTTGTTAATTATTTTAATCATTTAACAATTATTTAGGCATTAACTAATCTTGTGTGCACCTAGAGATTCAAGGATCAACAGGACATGCACTCTGCCTGCCTCATGGAACTTCAAGTCTAGTGAAGGAAACAGAAAAAGAAGCAAGAAATAATGAAAATGAGAAATTTTTGTTATTTCTAAGTATGAGAAATGTCATACTTACTGCAACTTCGGTTCTTAATTCAGGAAAGTAAACCAGGTTTCTTTAACAAGCCTTCACTTCTACTAGTTTAGATGACTAGGTCATTTTCTCCCAGGAATACAATATCCCATTAATTCTTCAAAAATACCTTCAGTGATGTTTTAAAAAAAAGAGGACTGAGAAATGTAAAAACTTTGAAAAGTCACTTAAGAGTTATATTGCGGGGAGTAGCGACTGAGGGGAGCAGTGGTCAGGAGAAAATCTCTGGAGAGCTCTTGAAATGGTTGCAGTTAATGTGAAACTGTAAAGACACCTCTAATAGGATTCCAAACCCCAAGGACTGACAGGGTAGCTCAGCTGAATACTCGGGGCTCTCTTTTCTTCCATTTTAATGCAAGAGAATTCAGGGTGAGCACATTTCTGAGGGAAGAATGAAGATTAGTTATTCTGTAGCCTCCCCAGCAATTTTCCTTCTTGCCAAGTAAGTTTCTAGCTAAAGGGAAGAATCTTGCATTTGGTTTCCCAAAAGCCTTTTGTGACAAATGACAGCTATATTAACCTTGTGGATAGGTGTGCTGAAATAGAAATTATTGCATCTACATTGCATTGGATTCTGATTTCATTCACCCTAGGTAACTCCAGGGCTGCTTTCTTTGAAATTTTTGTGAGCAAATTGCATCAGGAGAAGACTTTATTCCCCCGACTAAGTAATCTATGACTTGGTCATGATTAACTCCTATGGTGGTAGTTGCCTTCTTTCCAAATTATAGGGAGAGAATGAGCTACAGTGTGTTTCAAGCTAAAAAGACATATTAAAAATAACCTTTCCCTATAGAAAATACAGCATTCATCATAGGAATCTTCCCAACAAAGAAGCATTTGCCTAAAAAATTTTCAGGTCATGTATATTTTCTCCAGTAGTGTCTATAATGATAGTCAATCTAGCACATTCACAGATTTCTGAGAATACTTAACTTTCCGTATCCATGTGATTCTGAATAAATTAATTGATGGAATTGCTTTGTTATAACCTCTCAGTTTTTACAAAATATAGTATGCCTGATCAATATCAGATTTCTATGGACAGAATGATGTTAACTTTACGAAGTTATACCTCTACCTCTCCTCCAGGAGTTTTCGAAGTTATTTAGACTGCTTCAAAATCATTAGACATCTATTTCAGTGTTAACCACACCACTGCTTAAGACTGGTCTGTGTTTCTTCATACTCAGATCTGCAAATGCACCACGCTACAAATGGCAGCACAGGACATACATGTTTATATCATACTACTGTATTTTGGTCCAATTTTAAAATAAGTTAAAATGTCAAATATTTATAATTTATAAATATGCATTAAAATAATCCAGCCAATTTGTTTGCTTTTAGTTAACTCTATAATCTTCAAATGTAAAAATAGAACCTTTCTGCTGTCTATCTCAAATAATTGTTCCAACTTTGTATTCTTTCTGTAAAACCACAGCCAGAAGAACATGGCTCGACTATTAAGTGGAAAGGGAAAGAGGAAAAGAACATGGACATGGTGTGGCATACTTAATGGACGGAGATATGTATTCTTATAGGCCAGTGGCTTGTGGACAAAAAATACTTTTGAAACAATTTTGGAGTAAGATGGGAAATTTGCATTCTTCTGGCAGCAAGATCTTAGGGGATTTTGGCTGTTCATCTGGAGTTAAGCATGTGAAATGCCTAGTAGAGCGGTCGTAAGTAAAATCTAGAGATTTCATTCAGGTTACCTATAAATAAGCTTATCAGAGCTAGCACAAAGTTTCGATAGGCATTTACCTGCCTTTTTCATGAAACCTCAACACTTGACTCCTAAAAATGTTAAAAGCTCATCTAATTATATAACACTTGTGCGTTCAGTGTCACATATGTATTTTTATAGTTCCATTTGGAAACAACTGGATTGTGATTTCTCATTCATAAGAAACTCTAGGGTGGGGGGATTGCAGGCTGTTTCTTAAATGCACACTTCAGAAGAGGCCAGCAGTACTGCCTACCTAAGGAGTAACTCCAACACTATTCTTCATTATTGATATAGTTAGACTTCATGTCCCCACACAAATCTCGAATTATAATCCTCGCAATCCCCACATGTCTAGGGAGAGATTGGATCATGGGGTTGGAGGTCATTGGATCATGGGGGTGGTTTACCCCATGCTGTTCTTGTAACAGTGAGTTCTCATGAGATCTGATGATTCTATAAGGGGCTCTTGCTCCTTCACTCCTCACTCCTCTCTCTCCTGCCACCATATAAAGAAGGTTCTTGCTTCCCCTTTGCCTTCATCATGACTGTAAGTTTCCTGAGGCTTCCCTCAGCCATGTGGAACATGAGTCAATTAAAGATCTTTCCTTTATAAATTACACAGTCTCAGGTATTTCTTTATAGCAGTGTACATGGACTAATGCAATTATAAAGAAACAAAGCCATATTTCTTCAGTTTCTTATATTCTGAACAAAATATATTTTTAATATTTTTATGTTACTACAAAGCACCTGTATTTCCTCACTTTATCTTTTGAAATCAAAACATTAGTGCTGTGTAGTAGAAAAGTAACTTGTAAAGCTGCAAAATAATGCAAAAATGTTTTGTTACTTTCCTCATTTATATACAATTTAGGCAGTTTACCCAAGAAATTAAAATGATTGTTTTTAACTCTAAGGGGAATATTGGTATCTTAAATCGAAATATAGAAATTGTATCATTCAATTATCAGTTTCCTATCAGGACTGCATTTAATGTAAAGTTCATGATTAACAGTATTCCGATCATCTTTGCAACACATTTTCTCATACCTAAACCATATACAATATATTCTATTTCTTTCAGCTCTATTTCCTTTCAGAAGCCCATCCATTTCATCTCTTCACAAAATACCTAAAATTAATCACCAAGGGAAGCTCTTTTTCTGTAAAATCTTTAATTCCCTCTTTTCTCTAATAAACAAACTGGATGGAAGAAAAAACTGAACCAAAATCATATAACAAAATTATAAATGCTTGTCTATTGAAGGCACTACCTCAACATCTGATTCTCAAAAAATAAAAAATAGATACTTACACAGTTGTGATGGGAGTTTCCAGGGTATCTTTTATGCATGAGAAGAAATGTTCAGTGCACTAGGCTCAAAATAAAAAAAGAAAAGGAAAAGAAAAATTGAGGATTTATAGAAAAGTATAACCATTTAAAGTGTACAATAGGGAGTGAGAGAAGAGATAGGGGCTGCACGAAAGAGGAGTGAAGATTGCAGCTGGCAGTCAAAAACACATTATCCTGAAACAGCTTGTGAACTCTGCATGTCCCTTTCTGCCCTGCCTATATCTCTGGCCACGTGGACACAGTAAGCTACATTTATTACCCAGGAGAGCAAAAGGCACAGGCCTCTACTCTTCATCCATCAGACCCAGAACGGAGTGCATATTGGGAGATGGGTCAGGTCTCTAACAAATGAGCCAATGAAATCAAGATTTCTGGGGTACTACCATAAAAGAAGTATTGGAAGTGAGGCAGGAGAACTTAATTTCTTCCAAAGGCACCGTAACGGCAGCTACAGCAAATCTCTTTCAAGTAATGAGTTCCACGGCCAAGAAATGGCTTGTCAAGGCCAGAGATGAACTGTGGCCACTGCAGACCAGAGCCTTGAGTTCTGAGATCAGGTTTTCTTTTAATCTGGAAGCCATATGCAGGGTTGTTTATTTCATCATCCAGAAATGTGAAGATTGATTACAAGCCAAGTGGAACAGGACAAATATTAAAGCACTGAGTGTGAGAACTGAGGGGAACCCTAAAGTACTGTTTTCCTTTTCAAATAGCACAACTCCATCGAAGTCCAGATGAGTAGTGACCTGTGCATCAATTCAGCACCAGAAATGTGGCATTGCCCCTGGAGGTCATCTGAAAGCAGTGAGGTCACTTGAACAGGTGCCATCAGTAAAGACAATGGAGTCCTTTTGATCAGTCATCCAAATATGTAGTAAGGATAATTAGACCATAAATTCCTACAAATGGGGATAAAACTGTAACATTATACTGGAAAAGACTAGTATTCACATATATATCTTTTTGACAATATTCATACAAAAGAGCAGAAACACTATTATTAAGGTCAGTCCTCTTGAATTCCCAAAGAAGGGTCTGCCTACTCCATAGTTCAACTTGAAGGACATTAACAGATACATGTCCCAAAAATATCTGCTCCACCTGGTAGCCAAGTGAGTCTAATGTCAGCAGGAGATCCACTCTTTCACATTAACAAATGATCTAAGTAATTTCTCTATTAAAATGCAGTTGTATTATCTCAGAGGAATAGCAGATAATCTGACTGCATGCAATATCACCTTCACTTGGACTCATTTATAAAGCTAGCAAGTTGCACCCAGCAGAACCAGGGCTCTCAGGGAATGGCTTTTAGACAGATGGTTTGACAAAAATGAAAGCTGTCAGAAAAGTTCCTAGACACAGGGCATCCCATGCAGTGCCTACGGGGCACGGAGTCACTCCAGGTCTGAGTCTGAGCTCCCATTTATTCATTTAGCAAACATCTAACTCCATGTTGACTTACTGAGATTCATTTTTCTCTGTTAAAGTCAATAAATCACAACTTACAGTATTTATGAGAGAATTTAATAAAATAAGAAGTAACTGATCCAAAGTTACAAGATACTTAGTGGAAATTTCAAGGCACATTAACTAATGTCTATTTGCCTGTTGGGTCATAATTTGGTATTAACAAGAACTCAAAGCAAAAACAAAAGCAAAATGAGCTCTGCTTCTGTTTCCTTCTCATTTTCTCCAGCATGGCTCAATGTAGTTTACATTAGAACTCTCCCACTGAAAAATGACCTATGCTTTATCGAAGTTAAATATAAGAACAGCTAACCATCTCCCGCCCTCTCTCTTTTCCAAAACCTAAAGCAAAGGGTTTTCCTTCAATAAATGAAGACTACTTTCTAATGAATATTTAAACTGTGAACGTGAGCTGGAGAAGCCCCTCTTCCCAAAGGTTTTCCGAAAAGCAGTTTCAAAAATATCCAGAAGTGTAGTCCGTTTTCACTATTTTTTAAATATCCTAAAATTTAGAAAACATTTCTCTGTGGGTTGGGAATCTTTGAGAATTGTTTGAGAGCCCCAATCTGCCCTCTAGGCTTGACGTATTCTTCCCTGCTAATAATCCAAAAGTGCATGAGATGATGGAGACATTTAGTGTCATTTTCACACACACACAAATGTGAGAAGTAGAGCACAGGAAAAGTTAACTGACTTAAGAGAACGTGGAAGAGGAATGCAGGGATATTTGATTACAAAGAAAAAGCCGAATTTAACTCTGAAGTCATTTAAAGTATAAGCATTCTGGATTCTCTTAGAATAGATGTTGACACCTATTTCCTTCACTATCAATTTTATATATACATGATCAATAGAGTCACTTCAATGAACCAACTGATAATCAGGTTTCTAGAAGCAATTCTAGAATGAGAACATTCATACCAGGTCATGCTCCGTTCATACATGTTAAGTCATCTTTGCTATCAATCCCAGATAGACAAGGTTTTATTATAGAAACAACACATACACATTTTGATAGACATAATTGCTCATATACAAAGTTTTAGCAAAACAAGGTATGGAACAATTTTTCCTAACTCTCAACTAGGACGGTGACTGCAGAGGAACGGAGATGATTTGTTCTTTAATAAATGTGTAGGCACGAATGGTTTGCCAATTATTCCACTTCATTATATTTAAAGAGTATCCAGTTATTATAAAATGTAATTCTGAATATTTACCAAGGGTAAGAATGCTCAGAACTTTGAATTCTAGAATATAGCTAGCCCATCCCCACCAAGATGTTAAGAGCTGGCAATTTTAAGTTTCACTTTATTTACAATGTTTTCTTACATTTGAGAAACATTTATTAATATAGATAATAAAGCCAATGCTAGGTAGGTGATAACATCCATCTTAGTGGCTCAATCTCCCAAACTATATTTTCAGCTTTTTTATTTTAAAAGGGTGTTTGCAATTAGAGAAACTTTTGAAAGTTCACTCCAGAATGAACTGGTGTGATTTCAGAACCCAAAGAAGAAAAAGAAAAAGAAAAAAAAACTCTTAGTAGTGTACAAAAATAGTATTGCCTTTTTACATGGCATTTCCTACTTAAATAAACTACCTGTACAGAGATTTGAAAATAAACTTTATCTGCAATCCCTTAGAAATATTTAACTCTTTTAAAGAAATGTAGTTATAATTGTAACAGTTTGGGCATTCATTTAAATTCACGATTGGTCCAATTTTCCTTCTTTGCAATTTGACTTGTTTTAAGGGGAAAAAATCCATTTTTTTAACTGTCTCTTATGAGAAGTGAGATTATTCATTTTAGTTATTTATGAATTCTCATTCTGGACCTTTTCTCCATAGAGTAGACAATCTCTTACAAGTAATATTTTCCAATTTTAATCAACTATAACTTTTAACAATGCTCTGAGGAACTGTATCTGTACCTTATTTTTTATTCAGCCTTCCACTTTTTGAATTCTGTGCAACCTGGAAAATGGAAACAGGAAAGTTAGAGGAGTTCTGCACTCAAAAGCCTAAGGGGTAGAGCAGAGCAGCAAATCTGAGATGCACTGAAACCAGGAAGAAGAGAAGAGGATGAGATAGGCTGGAGGGAAGGCAGCAAGGTCTGTTCACAAGAGAAATATTGGTGACAAGTGTCCTTAATACTACAGACTGATCTGACTAACACAAATACTTTTCCAACTATCATGTGGGGTGCAAGAGGGAAAAGTACCCATGATGTTGCCTACAGAGGAATTCATTGCATCCATTCAGAAATAGAAAACCTAATATTTTCTTGAGAATGAAAGATAAGGCAGAATCTCATTCCCTATTGTTTAAATGTCCTCCTTTCTTTTTGTTCATGCAAAACACCTGGCAAAGCACCTTACATTTTGTAAGTGTTATTTTCTTTCTCTCTCCCTTCTTTGTTCAATTAGCACTTAATGAACATGTAGCCTGTGCTCGGCACTGAGCCTGATGAATATAGAAATGAATAAGACATAGTCTTTGCTCTTGAGAGGTTTTGCCTATAAAGAAAGATGGGCATTTAAACAGATGATTTGCATGTACCATGAAGTCCTGGTGTGGACTTACCCAGATATGTGAAAAAGTCTTTAAAGAAAGATAATACATTATATGAAAAAGCAAGGTAGAGAAAGCATTCCAGGAAGATAAGAGAAAAGTTCTAGACATCCTAAAGATACAGCATGATATATGCAAAACAGCACAAGCTGATTGGCACATCCTAAACAGGGTATTCAAAAATACAAGCTGAGTCATGAAGATAGAGGGAAGGAAGGGGGTGAAAACCACTAGAGGGTTTTCTGGAGAGTAGAGGTCAGTGAGGCTAGGGCTGCCTGTTCAGTTAATGTGAATCCATTCTGTCCAACACCAGAGTCTCTATTTTCAACCACTAAACTCTTTCGGATATATGTAATTAGAATACCAAGTGTTAATTTCTGAGCTAGGGGAAACAAAGTCCCTCGTGCTCGCTTATGGAAGAAGCACTCAGCACAGCACAGTCTTGCCAGTGGTGAGTTTCTGAAGGAGGTACCTGCTTAGGTGAGATTTGAAGTACAGTTAGGAACTGGACAAGTGAGAAGGAAGAGTAGAGAGAAGAGATGCATTCTCAGCTCCAGAGGCAAGAGAGAACACTTGTCTAGAAACCAGGAAGGGTCAAAGATCAAGGGTGAAAGAGAGAAGGATTAAGCAGGGATTGAATCATGAAGCCCTTGTAAATTATACAAAGGTATTCGGATTTTAGCCGGAAAGCAATGGTAAGCCAATGAAATAGTTTAAGCTACACAGAAATATCAGTATGTTTCCACTGCAGAGAGATTACTCTGGCTTTGTTTTAAGGAACTGGCTGAGAGAAAGTATAACTGAGGGCCAGAAAAATAGGGCTATTTCAGCAGTATAGAGGAGAGATGATAGAGACCTAAACTATGTTAGGAAGAGTGAGGCTGGATAGGTGAGCCACTGTCAGAGATACTTAAGAGATGAAGAAACAGGATTTAATGAAATGTACATCAGATTTGAAAGAGAAAGAGCCGGGCAAAGTGGCTCACACCTGTAATCTCAGGACTTTGGGAGGCCAAGGCTGGCGGATCACCTGAGGTCGGGAGTTTGAGACCAGCCTGACCAACATGGAGAACCCTGACTCTACTAAAAATACAATCAGCTAGGCATGGTGGTGCATACATGTAATCCCAGCTACTCGGGAGGCTGAGGCAGGAGAACCGCTTGAACCTGGAGGCAGAGGTTGTGATGAGCCAGAGGTTGCAGTGAGCAGAGATCATGCCATTGAACTCCAGCCTGGGCAACAAGAGCAAAATTTGTCCCCCACACCAAAAAAAAAAAAAAAAGAGAGAGAGAAAAAAAGAAAAAGAAAAAGAAATAAAGAGAAAGCAAATGAAGTTGAAAAGTATTAAGTTTATTCAACAAGTATTTTAGGAACATCCACTACACGCCCTCCAAACTTCTAGGGCCTAAAAACAAAATGTTGAAGAAATTAGGCAAAATTTCTGTTATTATGTAGTTCATGTCCTAGTGGAAGATGGGCTTGGTGAGAAGCAGATAACCGTACAAACAAATCAGTGAATGAGATGCTTTCAGAAGGTATCCGGGTCCAGGAACAAAACGAGCAGTACAGCGATGCAATAAATAACTGGAAAGGATTGCGAAGCCTCCTTAGATGGGTAGATCAAGCATCTGTTTCTGAAAACAGGACATTTGAGTCAAGATTTGAATGGCGTGAAAGAGCCATGTAAGTCTCTAGAAAAGAGTGTTCTGGAATCAATAAAAGTTTATGCCAAGTCCCTGAGGTCAGGAAAAGCATAACCTATTCAGGAGTGAGAACAAAGGTAAAAGAGAAGAGGAAACAAGTGGAAAGGGGGAGTGAGCAGGCAGAAGCCAGAGCCAGACGATTTTTAGGTCCTGGTAATGCATTTGTGTTGTCAACTAATTTAATGAACAGCAATTTGAGGACTTTAAGCAAGAAAATGATATAAATTGATATTTCCTTTCCAAAAAAATCTCTTTATCTCTTATTGGGGAATAAGAGTAGAATCAGGAGGTCAACGCAAAGATCACTACAGTAATCCAGGTATAAACAAAGTCAACAGAGAAAAAGCAGGAGAGAGGGTGAGAAGCGGCTTCGTTTGGAATTCAGGGGATGCACATGATACGATTGGCTGATGGAGTGACTAAGAGAAGTGAAAACTAGAGGTATCAAGTTGGACTCCTCTGTTTCGGACCAGAGACACAGGAGGACGCGACCAATAACCAAGATGAGAAGGGGCAGTGGTGGAGTATTATTAAAGAATACCAAAAATGGTAACTGTGATTTGCCCACCGAGTAGAGATGTTAAGCTAGGAGTTACATACGAAAGAGCTTCAGGCTGGAGGTAGAGCTTTGGAGCTAGCAGCGCTTAGATGTTATTTAGAATCATAGGGACAAGAGGGGATTGCCCAGGGACTTACTGGAGCTAAAGTAAAAAGAAGACAGAGTATGGTTCTGCGTATCTTGATCTGGGCAAGTGGGTGAATGATAATGCTAACCCTACCACAGGAAACAGGTGAACAGAAAGAAGAGTGGGGTTGGGGTCAAAGTGGGGAGTTTAATTTGGGCACTGTTGTGTTTGGAAATCTGGTCATATGCACAGCTGCATTTCAGCAAAGACATTAGTACTAAAGATAATTCAGATCCAGGAGCATGTAAATGGCAGCTGTATAAAAGCATGTGTGTGCAGTTTGAGAAGGTGTTCAGGCCATCGGCCAACACGTATTTACAGGTGGGCTGCAACGAGCATCAATCACTTGAAAGAGAAGGGCGTGGACTAGAGACCAAGAAAGAATGAGAAACTGTTACTCGTTCTATGAGGAGGAAATCAGACTATGCTGTCCTAGTTAATGAGACACAATTAACACCTTAAAAAGGAACACAGTACAGTGGAATGGAGATTATACTATGGAAAAGCATAAGTAACCAAATTTGGTGACTTCTGGAGTGTGCAGATGTGGAGAGGACGCTCTGTGTACTGCGTGGAGGAGATTACATAAGAGTGACTTTGAGGGTAGGAAACCCAAGGGACGTTTACAATATCCAGGAATGAGTCCACGTGGCCCGAGCTAAAACCATGATAATAGTGTGGAGATGGGAAAGGCATCCAAGGATCCCTCTAGAAGTAAAAGCAGCAGGTGCTATTTATTGCCTGGATGTGGGACAGTGAGAGATTAGCAGTCTGAAAAGATAAGTTGTTATTTTCTTAACACAGAGAACTGGGTAAATGTCAGCACCATTGATTGGGAGCACAGAAGCTGTAAGAAGAGCAGGAGACAAGTAAAGACCCCAGAATAGGGACAAGGAAATATTGATTTCAGCTGTGAACATGTGAGTCTGAGGTTTGCTTATTCAAATACATTAACCTGGTAGTGAGATGGGCATGTGACTACATAGCATAGGAGAGACAGAGTCAGAGTCATAATAGAGAGAATCATCTGCATGTAGTGAGTAACTAAACCATGAAGATAGTGGAAATGCTTAGAGAGGTTTCTTTTACAGCAGAGAAGGTTTCCAAAATCTTTTTATAAAATACAACCAATGAATTAAATGTACTCGAATGAGAGAGTCTTCTTGTTTCCTGTGAGCTTGTAAGAGGCTTAGAAGTCATCACTGTATCCCAACAAGTCAAATGCTGATCAAACTAAAACATTAGCAACCTCCTTAGATCTGTCAGAAAACTGAGGTCACAGGGCAAACCACGGTCTAACAAGCAGATGCAGAGCATCATTATCAGAGCAGAAACCCACACACGAAACCCCCATGGCCACCAAACCCAAATACTAACTGACAAATTGCTGGAGGCTTGAGGTGGACAAGTCTGAGAGTCAAAAACTCCAGAGGAGCCCAAATATAGAAGTGGTGGGGCGCGGTGGGGGTGGGGGTGGTTCAGTTTTGTAAATTTCACCTCTGGGAACTCCTCTAGGTTCTTACAATGAAAATCAAATAAAATCCTATTCATGCTTCTGGCAGAGAGAGGGGAAAGATACCCATTTAAAAATATTCCAGAGCATTCTGTTCTTAATAAGGCCTGCCAGCAAGAGAAACTATTTCACCAGACCCTAAACTATTGAAGTTTTAACCAGAGCCTAACTGACCAGGGAGATGGGATGTACCCAACTCTACCCCTCTACCTCTCTCTGTGGGAAAAGGGAAAAAAACACAATTCCAGTCCACTCAAGCCATCCTGTGTCCCCAAAGGTGGTGGGAGCAGAGGGGCACGGAGAAGCGCTTGAGAAGTTCACAGCCCAAGGCACGAGCTGAGATCTAATTATAAGACCCCCAACTCACACCCACATGCACCTTCCCACCACATCATGAAAGGCTTATTTGATCCTTTTACTCCAGCCATCATTTTGGCTTTCAACATAACAACAGCAAGAAAAAATCACAAGGTATACTAAAAGGCTAATAAACAAGCCAACAAACCATCATTCTCAGCAAACTACCACAGGAACAGAAAACCAAACACTGTATGTTCTCACTTATAAGTGGGAGTTGAACAATGAGAACATACAGACACAGGGAAGGGAATATCAAATACCAGGGCCTGTCGGGGAGTGGGGGGCTAAGGGAGGGATAGCATTCAGAGAAATAACTAATGTAGATGGCAAGTTGATAGGTATAGCAAACCACCATAGCACATGTATACCTATGTAACAAACCTGCACATTTCTGCACGTTTCCTAGAACTTAAGGTATAATAATAAATTTTTTAAAATGCCATCCTAAAGAGACAGTGCAAGCATTAGGACTAGAATCCCATAAGGCGGGGATGTTGGAATTAGGAGATTGTGAATTTAAAACAATTAAGATTAATATGCTAGAGATTCCAATGGCAAAGTAGACAACATGCAGGAACAGATGGGAACTATAAGCAGAGAGATGGAAATTCCAAAAAAGAATCAAGAAGAAATGCTAGAAATCAAAAACGCTGTAAGAGAGAGATGGAAAAGCCTCTTTTCTTCAAAACCTCTTCAGGATAATTGAGTCACATCGGTTGGGGTGGTAGATGAAGGAAACTATAGCAGGCCTGATAAGCAAGGTCTGGTCCTTCTTAGGACAGAAAGCTCCGCACCTGAGCTCTTCCGGTCCCTGCACCACCTGCTGTGTGCCTACATTAGGCTCTGCTACCCGGAAAACTGATGGGAGGGAGGCATTGAGTACAAGAGCTCTGCTCGGTGAAGCATTTCATAACTGCTGCTTGCACACTGTCCAGGCATATTACACCATCAATTGTGCGAGCTCCCACTTATTGCCACTAATTGCTGCAGAGAGAACGATGCTGACCATGGCAGAGCAGCTACTAAACCAAGGAAGGTAAGGCCAGGAGCGCTTAATGGCTTATTGGGACCGTCGGGAAATTCTGTGAAGAGAATCAATTTCCCTGTAAGTATCAGCCTGCTAACAGCAAAAGGCACTCAGGTTTTTAATAGTAAATAAAGGGCTCCTGAGGACGAATCGTTAATTTCTCACTGAAACTTGCCCTTTACAGTAAGTTGTTCATCATAAACCTGCTCATCCTCATGCCCACACTTCTCAGCTCACAAATGAATTTCCAAAGCTGGACACCCTATAAGGAATGTCAGTGATTTAAGGGTATTCTCAATTCCTTGCTTACTGGTAGTAAATGTCTTTTTGAGAATGTTCACAAAACACCCAAGACAAGTCTTTGTTGTCTTTTGTTGTTGTTTTTTCATTGTTATTCTTTCTCAAGAGGACATTTTTGTGTGAGTTTTATCACAAAAGGGATTCCTGAAAATAGAAATGAACTTTGTGATCAGTGACATTGGTCTCTTTGACTGGAATTTCTGGGAAAGAGAAAAGAGTTTTAATGCATCAAGTTTTTATGTTACTTGTTAGTGCAACATTTCCGTTCATCTAATGGACCTTGATGTTTTGCAGTGAGGGACTCCTTTGAGAATCCGCTGAAAGCCCCAGAATCTCTCCTGAGAAAATGCACAGACACACACATTTGTGTGAGAAGTCACCTTGGCTGTCATTGATGGTTCCCCTAGAAGTTCAATGACTTCAGATAAGGGCTCCCCGCTTTAAGAGGTAATTTGGGTACTCGCTTTTTGTACAAGTGGTACCTTTAGTGGATGGCTCTTTCCATCCATGGTGAGAAACTGATTCGCACCACTCCCCAAGTGATTATGGAAACATTTACAAGGCACTCAACTCATGGATTCCTTCCACCAGAGGCCATGAAGGGGGGGGTGTGACTGATATATTTTGTTAGCTGATGCAGCTATCTGCTCTATGGTCCTTTAACTTCTCAGAACATCCTGCCCCTTCAGTTCAAAAGCCATCTGAAGCCTACCTGCGAGCTGGTCCAGAAAATGATGCATTCTGATTTCTATGCCCTCTTCCTGTGAACTTGTCTCCAATTTAGCCTCTCAAGGTCCCTTTTTGGTGAGTTAGCTTCTCCCTAATGCTACTTCTCAGATGGGCCAGTGACTCACACAGAGTGGCACAAGGACAAATCCAGCCTGCCTTGCATCCAACTCAGATTCCAGAACCACTGAAACCACCTGAGGCATCCTGGAAGCCTAAGATGGACCACACCAGAGGAACCAGGCTGCCCTTTACAAGGTACTTGTGAAAATACTCTCTCCCTACTTACAACTTTGAAGAAAAAGACAGTAACACCAACAGCTGCCTTGTGGCCACTGTATGTCAAAAACCTCAAGCATGGCTCTCAGAAAAAGAATCAAGAAAGATCAAGATATTTTTCCTTCCAACTTTTTAGAAAGAGCCTAAATCTGGACACAACCCCCCATTTTGCTTTCCCTCCCCGCTTCTTTGGAGACAGCCTAGAAGAAAGAGAACCTTGTTCCACTTTGGAAACCTCATTAGACATCATTAAATGCCTTATAAGCCAGTGAGTTGCAAGCCTGGCTTGCTTAAGGGTATGTGGAATGATTATATAACAAGCAAAAAAAAATTCATTTTTCATATTAAGAGCAAAGCTTACACATCTGAACATAGTTTTACAGTTAGTTCTAGTGAAAAGACATAAATATATCTGAGATAAGGAAAGCTTACCCCCAGAGGAAGAAATTTCTTCTGGCCACTATAGGTTCAAATGCTGAGGCATGAAAGACAGGAGAGAGAAATGAGGTTAGACTCTCCTCTCTCCTCTGAATTGAATCTCAGAAGAGAGACTAAAATAAAGACTCCTAGAAACACTTGAGGTTGGGTGGGGATCCTAGTCAGGAAGCTTGTTTCTTACTTCCCCGGAAACCTGGAAGATCCCTTGTCTCCTGGAAGACCTGGAAAACCCGTGTCTCCTAGGGACCCCGTGGTCAGCATGGCAACTAAGAACATACATCCATGATGGTTCCCTATGATGTTACCAGATATCCCAGAAAGGATGTGTACTATTGTGAATGGTGTTTATTGGTCACCAAGTGTAAGGATAAAAGGACTTCATTGTAAAGGCCAAAACCAGCTGCACCAACCCTGGCAAGATGCAGGCTGAATTTGGTCCTTGACCAATATGAGAAAACTAATTATGAATTATGGTAGCTCTGGACACTTAAGCAGCTCCTTCTCCCAGTCCCCCTCTACCTACCGACCCACGTCATCATATTCTGTAGATTTCCAGATTTACATCTAGATGCAATATGAGAGGAAGGGGGAGAGCACCTATAATATGGAGTAATTAACTCAAGGTGACATATTTTAGTTCAAGAGAGACTGAGACATCCTTGGTGGACAAAGCCAGACATTTTCAGCCAGAATAGGAGTGACAAGATGAAGTGAGTTACAAAAAATATAGTTATGTATTTGTGTATCAGTTGCACAAATAGTAAATTTTGAGTCCCATTTTACTTGCAGTGTTAAAAACAGTAGAGCAATAAAGTTTGTGGAGTTTCTTGGAGAAAGTGCTACATACACATAAATTTATGTAAATGTCCTCAAAATTTTAACTCAAACTCATTCAATATACTTCATCCACCTTTAATATTACCATAGAATAATGCTAGTTTGATGGCTAAAATTCTTACGTTGTTGCATAAAAATACCACACCCATTTGCTATAATCTTTATAAGGTATCCAATTAGTTTAAAAATATCTATGAGTTTTCATTTTCTAAAGGGAATGGCAAATGCTGACATTTTACTACCATGGCCACCATACAATGCTTAAATATTCCAAAATTTTCATGTGGCATTGGAGGATGTGTCCAAAATTATTGGACCTCAAGTAAGTTCTATGATTCTTTTACACTAAATATATAGCTTTCCATTATGCAATTTGTATGTGTACTTTTTGAAGAATCAAAACATTGGGAAAATAGTGTGATAAGACAATCCTGTTAAAAAAAGGAACATTCTAAAAAACACACAAATTGACTTGCTAATATGTGAAGCTGAACTAAAAGCATACCCTTTAATTTCAGCAGGAGATCTGCTACTTATTTAACAGTGGTTCAGTATAATACACACACACACACACACACACACACACTTAAACCACCCCTCTCAACATAGGTCCAAGTCTGCTAGAGAAATTCTCAGCCCTTCCACTACTCTAGTCCCCCACAGCATGTGTTAAAACATGACTCTGCTTAAATATAGCATTCTACTTTCTAGTGTCTGGAAAGATGGAGGCATCTTAAGGCTTTTCAATTCTTCTCCATTAATGGATACTTCAACAGAAACTTAGGTAAGGTCAATTAAATCTTTCTTTGCCCACAGAAGCCCCGCTGGTGGGAGCCGGTCAGGTGTTCTGTGATGCATGCTGGTTGTGTCTAGCTGTCTCACTTGGGATGACTGTTGGAGCACTGGCTCAGTCAAATCCCTCACATCTATGCTTTTTGGTTGCTGCAACAAACTGGTGTTCAACCCAGAAGGAATGCTGGTCACTTAAGCTACTTCTTACAACCACATTCACTGGTCATAAGCTTTCATGGCATATTCATACACACATATAAACAGTGCAGTGAAATAAAGTACTGCTACAGTTTAAAAATTTTATAATGGGAGCTATTTCTTGGGACAATCACACTGTCATCTTTGGACATTCCATTCTTTAAAAAAAAATTAACTTTCTTTATAACCAATCTGTTATTGTGAACATATTTGCCTCATACTACTATTCCAAAAAAATCTTCCTTAATCCAGGCACCAACCACAACTTATGTTTCGCCACTAGATAATCTTGAACAACATCGACTCAGTGCCAACTAAAACTTCATAATTAAAATACAAAGTTAATTGTCTTTCAGAGTTTTTAAAAAATTGCTAAGATATCCTGAGGTTTATTCTTTCTATAAATTATTAGTATTTCCCATTGAGTTTTTTCTTCTTTTTGGAATGACTAATAAGTACCCCATATTTTTCTAGTCTGAAATCTACCTTGCGAGTCCAAAAATGAATGATTTTCAAAAACAAGGGGACCCTACAAAAAGAGAAATATTCTCAATAGATATTGCCAGCTTAACTTTGAGGGTATATCATTATATAGGCAAATGATTATGCCTGTATTACAACAAAAGCACAGAGACTGCATTAATTTTCTTCTGATGCTATAAGTTACCACAAACTTAATGGCTTAGAGCAACACAGTTTGATAATGTACAGTTCTGGCCAGACACGGTGGCTCATACCTATAATCCCAGCACTTTGGGAGGCTGAGGCAGGCAGATCATCTGGGGTCAGGAGTTCAAGACCACTCTGGCCAACATGCTGAAACCCCATCTCCACTAAAAATACAAGAAAATTAATTGGATATAGTGGTGGGTGCCTGTAATTCCAGCTACTCGGGAGGCTGAGGTAGGAGAATCACTTGAACCTGGGAGGTGGAGGTTGCTGTGAGCCGAGATCACGCCATTGCACTCCAGCCTGGGTGACAAGAGCAAAACTCCATCTCAAAAAAAATTAATAATTAATAATGTACAGTTCTCTAAATTATATGTCTGATACAGGTCTCACTGGGCAAAAACTGAGGTTTCAGTAACACTGCATTCTCTGCTGGAGGTTCCAGGGGAAAGTGCATTTTCCTGCTTTTTCTAGCTTCTAGAGGCTGCCCACATTCCTTGGCTGATGGACTGCTATTGTTGTCTTCTATGTCTGTGCTTCCATAGCCTCAATCTCCCTCTAATTCTGAACTCTGTCTCCTTCTTCCACTGTTAAAAACACTTATTCTGGCTTAACACCTGGTTAGGCCAGGATAATCTTCCTATTTTAAATTCCCCTAATTAACAACTATAGTTCCATTTTCTTAATGCCCCATTCTCTTTTGTCATGTAAAGTAGCATATTCACAGGTTCCAGAGATTAGGATGCTAACATCTTTAGCGGCCGTTATTCTGCCTACCTCAGAAAGTAAAACACATAAGGCAATGGGCAGCAAAACCTAATTCTATAGAGCATAAATAATTCACCAACTCTAGTCAACTTCCTTTATAAGAATCTCTTTATGGGACAGAAAAAAAAATTAAGCAAGGTAGATATTAATAGAAGGCTAGTTTCTTATTTTCCAGTCAGCACTGACCTCAAGAAGCCAAAGAGGGCATAAAAAGAAACTGATAAAGAGGCAAATCTTCTTTGCATAATCAGCAAGCACTGTATGTAATTAACAAAGAGGAGAAATTTGTGGTGTTTCAGGAAACAGAATACTTCTTACCTTTTACATTCACGTGTATTTGCAAAAATTCTCCAAATTTCTGGCACGTTTGAATTAAGAATTATCTGTGTGTGTGTATGCATATACACACACACATATTTACACATTATATGCATATATATATACATATATATACACATATATACATACACATCATCAATGCTTTTCAGATACTAGGCCATCTACTACCATATAAGGAAATCAAGGCTGCCAAGCTAGATATCAATAGGTATTTAGTATCATCCTGGTGCTTTATTAATCTTATGGTTACAATCCATCCAGATTTGGCAAGCAAATAGAGGACATCATAATTAATCAAAATAAGGACAAGTAGATCATTTTTAAATAAAGGACTAAATTATATTATAACCACATAACCCAAGGCCAGATATATTCCTTCAGCTCCATTTGTACTGGTTGGTTTCCTGATGCTGATGTCACTGTTCACTCTCACAGCTTTAACCCCATCTCTCCCTCATGGCACCCACATTGCTTGGCGTACTTTGGTATGTTTGATCTTTTAAAATATGCAATGATTTTATTTCCATTAATGATAATGAATTGTAGTTTCTATTCTGTTTTTAACTTTTAAAATTTGAACACTATTTTAAAAGTTCATCAATGTTGCTGTATGTTCATATAATCCCTTTTTTCTAAGTGAATGGAGTTATTCTATAGCATGCATCCGCCTGGTTTTACTTACTCATTCTCCTAGTTTTTAAGACTAAGTTGCTTTCAACTACTCTCTACTGCATAGAGAAGGTTCCTGTGGTTATATACGGGTATAATATGCAGATTTTGTTTCACCAAGTCTTGCGTATCATGCTCCATGAGGCTGCTCCGAGATGTGCTTCCACCAGCAGTGCATGGAGGTCCCTGCAACACTCATTCATGCTTATATTTGGCCTTCAGAGACTCGTGCAGCACCAGAGTCCCATTTAGAAGAGGTAGGGATAACTGCCACTTGGACTTTGTATCACTTCGTTATTTGCTTGTGATATGAGGCTCACAATCCTCTGGTAAATACAATTCCCACAGCATTGGACCCTCATTCTCACTTAACCTGGATCCACCAGGCCAGGCAGGAAGGAAGGAGACGCTATGCCAGCCACTCCACTGCATCCATCGTTCCCTCTCCAAGTAAAAGAGAATCTATGCCCTTTTTCAACAGCATTTTAAAAAAACCTATTCAACGTCATAACATTTTATAAGCTAGTCTCTATACCCAGACTACATTTTCTTCTGCCAGTTATGAAATGAAGGCCCCATGCTGATTAATACATGTATCCAAATTGTTGGGAAAATGTTGAGCCACCTCAACTCAGCACTCACCAATGCACATAGGCAGCAGTGTATGAGCTGCAGCCCAGCCCGCAAAATGCCATTTCTTATGCTAGTTCCTACACAACTGTGAATAGAGGAGAAAATTTCATTCCAAGACCTTTATAGCTCGAT